GGGGGCTGCTCATGTGCTAGGTCCCGGGAGCTGGCTAGAGGTGGGGAGAGGGAGGGGAGGGTGGAAGGGGGTACGTGCAGCAGAGCTCGCCCAGGCAGTGCAGGTGTAGATGCAGTCCTCCCCTCCCCCATCCATCTCACAGATGTCCCCACTGCACTCTGCATGGGGCTGAGTCCCACCTGCTCCTGCCCAGGGCAGTATACACCATGCTTCTGCCCACCCTGGTCCTGGGCCAGCATGAACAGCTTCCTGGTGGGGCTGCTCCCAGTGTGGTTGCAGCTACCTGGGTACTGGTCAGCTCCCCCTGCCTCCAACAGCTCCTCCTCCTCCTGCCAATTGATTGTATCTGGCCCACAGTGCTTGGCATGGGGTTGAGTCCTGCTCGCCCCTGCCTGGGATAGCTCGTGCCCTGCTTTCGGTCTGGGCAGCAGGAAGTGCAGGGAAGCTGTGGTCACATGAGCTGGGCAGCAGATGCCCAGCCAGGTGGGGGTGGGAAACTGCAGCCATGTGGCTCCTGCCCCAGTGTGCAGAGCTTCAACAGCATCTGCTGCCCAGCATGTGTCCCCAAGGCTCTCCCAAAATGGGAGCAGGTTGCGGGCTGCCCCAAGCAAAAGAGAACATTGCTTAGCCCCATGTGGACCACTGTGGGCCTGAGACAATCAATTGGCAGGTCCTCTCCGACTCCAATTAGTTGGAAGGTTCAATCCAGCCCACAGGCCATTTTTTGTTGACCCCCATATAAAATTTTATTATCAAAAATGAGATTTATATTCATTATGTTTTAAATCTATTTTGCACTGTGGTGTGTCCTAAACACATTGGTTTGTTGATGGGGGGGGGAGGGGGAACTTGAGTTCACAATAACATTGTTTTAATTATTGATTATAATGAAAATTACCCACAGACCCAAAAATGATCCAAATGTTTACTGCCAGTGATGTGGGCGGATTTTATAGCTTTTGAATGGTCTTCGAATGCTTACCACTCTACACTGAGAGCCTTGTAAATAACAAAGTATTTCTAAACCATTTAAAAAGAAATGTAATCATTAAAATGTCACTGTATGATGCACTGAGATAATTTAACTTCATGTAGACTTCAAAAAAAGTAATATGATCAGTAAAAATGACATCTAAAGCAGTTGCTAAAAGCAGTATTTCCATTTATAAATGACGGTTTTTATCCAAGCATTTTGACAACCCATAAAAAGCACTGTTAAATCATTCAAGTCCTTGATTCAACATAGTACTTAGGCATGAAGAGAATTTTAAGCACACGGGTAGCTCCACTGAATTCAAGAGGACACATGCTTAAGAGCTCAGATGCTTAAGTTACATAGGTGCTTCAGTGTCTTGCTGAATCAGAGCTTCAATTCTGAAACTGCTGCTGAAAAAGCCATTTACTCAGGGGTACAAAGCGCAGAGGGCAAGATCCAATTTTTCTCTTTGGGTATTAGTGGAATTCAGAAGGAACAACACTGAAACTGAAGACATTACATTGACGTAAAACATGGTTTGGAAGGAGAGAACTGGGACAATGTTTTTTACAATATATTTAACAGTAACTTGGAGTTAGGATTTTTATTATTTATTATATGACCCAACAAAAAGCTATTTTGGGGGCTAAATCCTGCTTCATGCTATCTGCCTAAAAAGCATGCATACAGCTGTGCTACTGCAATTTTTTTGGCATTTCTGCATCATTTGGGATGCTACAGGAAAACAGAATTGCCCTTCTTTCCTGCTAGAAGTTAAATGGAGGAGGAAGAGGTAGACCCTCCTATGTTTTAGGTCTGGTGATTAAAAGATTAGGTTCTAGGTCCTCTCTCATATCCAGCAAGGGCTTGCACCTCCTTCTCTCCTGACCCTAAATATGGTGATCAGTTTGACCCTGAGAAGAGGGGCAAAACCTTATAGCCAGAAACCTCTGGCTTTAAGTCCCAGCAAGAGCATTGGCACACTTCAGTCAAAATCCCCAGCCCTGACTGCAGACAAAACCCAGTGCTTCTGAGGAGGGCTTAAACTGCACCCTTTTCCCCTTCCCACCCACCAACACATGGAGCAGCAAGAGGAGGCGGGGCAGAACTACCTCCTATTTATCACTGACTTCAACAGGTGTTGCACCATGTTGTGGATCCAGAGGACCTAATCTTGCAGGCCCTTCCTCATTGCGAATAGCCCTTACAATTCAAGTCAATAATGACTAACAATCAAACAACTCACAAGATAAAAGGTTTGCAGGATTGAGACTATGAGCCATGACTGTGTGAAGTCTTACACACACACTTTTCATATTGTGTGTGGTCTCACTAAAGTCAGCGGCACTGCTCCAAATATGTAAATTATTTATAGGGGGTGCTGGTTGTAGCTGTGTTGGTCCAAGGACATAGGCAGACAAGGTTTTTTGGGTAAATGTAATATCTTTTATTACACCAACTAAATAATTGGAAGAACTGTTCTTTGCAAGCATTCAGGTACAAACACCCTTCTACAAAGGGTGTTTGTACCTGAAAGCTTGCAAAGATCAATTTTTTCAACTATTTAGTTGGTCTAATAAAGGATATCACATTTACCCAAAGAATCTTGTCTGTAAATTATTTTAAGCACTTAAGTTGTTGCATGACAGTCAGCTTTTTTCTTCCAGCTGCTTTCCTGATGCTGAATATCTATTATTTAACAGAAAGAAGAAAAACATTGTAAAGCACCTTCTAAGCAAAGCTTGTACTAACTGTAGGTGAATTCAGCAAACAATGCACTGATAGACAGCAACAGATTGTTTTGTGAGATTTACCAATGGACTTCCTCAAGCTTGCAGCAATGCGAGTCAGTACAATCTGGCCTGTTCTGAATGCTGTATTAGAAACTATTGTTCAGCATATCACAGTTACATGAATTATAGCCAGTATTTCAATAAGGATTATACTCTTGTATTTTTATTTTAGGGACAAATCCTGATTCCTCTTTGTAGCCAAAATGGGGGCAGGAGTCTAGACTTTGCATCTAGCATTTCTTAATGGCTGGCTCTCAGCATCTCCTTCTTTGCTGCCTTGATAATCTGGATTGCACTTTGGAGATGTGTATCACTCTGTTGGGAAAGAGATCTATATTGTTTGGTGTGTGGCAGCCTAATATATATGCCCAGGAGAACAATTTGGTTCCAGTCCTCAATTTCCATGCCTAGATGAGCTACACTGAACAGAGAAAAACCCAAAAGATAAAAGTTCAACAGTGCCTTTATGTCATAACATCTCATTGAAATATGTAACTGATGTTCACAGCTTCTTTTTCCTGGAAATATCACAGTAAACTCATCTTTAATTCTTACCCATACTGGCCTAGATTCACCTCATCTCTCTGACACCTTTGCACACAGCTCTAGCTACAGCAATGCAATACAATCAGCGCTTCATAGAAAACTGGCCCTTTCGTTCAGCATTGAATTTCAGATTTGCTCAAACCATGGGCTCTTCAACTTGCGGCTATTTTAAAATGCTGGCAAGGGGCAGCTTTCTAAGACCCATATAGGTTGTAGTAGCACAGATATAGCACCAACATGTGCGGGCAAGTCTATACTTACTGGAAGGCCTGGTTCGCCAGAAGCTCCATTTTTCCCATCTTGCCCAGGTGATCCAGGGGGGCCTGTATTTGAATCTGGCCCTGGTTTTCCTGGGAGACCAGGTAATCCAGGAGGGCCTGGAGGCCCAGGTAGACCCTTGATAAATCATAAGAATGGTGAGAAAATATTGTCACAATATGTATTCCCAATCTCAACTACCTGTCTCATTTGTATTAGCTTAGTTCCAAGTATCTTAAAATCTGATTTTAAAGTATCCTCCTTTTAAAAAAAAAATACACAATTTCTTTTTGCTAGTTTCCCCTCTCATATGCCTAATAGCCTCATTAATGCTATTCCCTTTGGTCTAGCCTGCTTTGCCTGTCTCCACAACACTGTACAACTGAGGGAGACTGATCTGGATGAATGTACTTGGATTTAGGTATCCTTCTTTTTCCACACTTCTCTCTTGCTTTCCTCCAAGTCATGAGTTCCCTTCCTCTTTTAAAATCTTCCTGTAAAGCTTCATGAAAACCTTCATGTGCTCTTTAAATTACGTTAGCTGTCCCTGAAAAGCAGTTGTAATACTGTGTATTACATATACAGTATAAAATGTGCATTTGTTATTTGATATGACTGATTCACAATGATTCAAAAGCTGGGATAATTTAAAAGTCTAGATAACAGTATATAAAGCTTCAATGTGTGACTAAGTGTACCAGGGAGCCAGAGGCTTCTGTTACTTTAAGGTGGAGAATGTAACAGACAGGAGCACTGAACCTGGGCTAGCTGCAGAAGAGACAGCTAGGGAGCTAAAGGGCTGAAAATAACTACCTCATAGCTAGCTATAGAACAAGAGGCCAATAGGACAGAGCTCCAGGGAGGCAGAAGGGGAAAAAACTGCAGCTCAGCCAGGAGAACAGCAGTAGGCTGCTCATTAGGCCCAAGGAGCATACCTGTGGCCAATCAGGGGCACACCTGACCAAAAGAGGAGAAGCTCAGAGTATACAAACCCAGATGCCTAGGGCAGAGGAACCAATGTTGTCCTGAACTCCTGCTAGCCTAGATTGTCAGGGAGTGATAACTTTAGGCCATGAACTAGGAGAGACCCAGAAGGAGGGGAGAAGGCTTCTGCAGCAATATGATGACCCAGAGGGGGGTTAAGAGTTTTAAACTAGGCAGGTGGCTGGCATGTCAGTTTTAGTTTAGCCAGAGGACCAGTTTGTAGCTGTAGGGGTGGATTGGAGGCCATACAGCAGGGTGCCTGGGACACACTGGATTTTAGCTCCTGCAAAACAGCAGGAGAGCAAGTGGGCAGGGGGAAGAGTGAGCCAGGCTAGGACCAAGATGGCCAAAGCCTCGACAGGGGCAGAGCAAGCCAAGCTAGAGCCAAGACGGGCTCTAGTGAAGATAGGGCCTGGGGCCCAGAGAGGCTTTGCTAGGACCAGAGGGCCTGGCAGACTAGTAAATGAACAAGAGTAAAACCTGCAAGGTGTGAGGCTATGGGGGGGGAGAGGGGCGGGGGGCTGAAGGCTACAACTAATGCCACTAAGGCAATTCTAGTGCCTGAAGGTGTGGATAGGGCCAACAGGACTCAGTCTCAGTGAGACACCCATGTCAGTGGGGCATGGAGCAGTAGCAAATTCTGAGTCCCTTGCCACAAGCAGGACTGGGGCCTAGCAAGTATGTAAAGCTAGGCCAAGTGGGGACCCAGTGGACACACTAAGGGACTTTGAGGAATTTTCTCCCAAGGTAAAATAAAATTTATATCAAAGTATGGCAGGCAGGAGAGCGAGGAGGTTGTCCCAAGAAACTGAGTGGAGAGGTATTTAGGTCACTAGGGCTAGGGACAGACATTCAAAAAGCCTGAACCGATTCAATCTTTGCAGTAAAGCCACGCTTGCTTTTCACCAGCTGCCTACACATTACAGTAAGAATGCTGGGATAAATGGATAGATGGTAATGTATCCCTTTGAACCTCAAATTCACATGAACTGTGCCTGCCTTGCTAATCAGTGTCATTCAGGAACCCTAGTTACAATCCCTAAAAGCTGATATTAACTAAGATTCCTGAATATGCATTCAACTGACCTGCCTACTAGTTTAACCTGGCTAGGCTAAACTGGTTTGCAACTGCACAGACAACCCAGAATCCCAGAAATGCAGGCACATGCCTGCACTGGCTTAGGCTAGAAGCTGGGGGGGGAGGAGGCGCTAGAGCATCCCTCCATTCCCTTCCACAGTACTAAGCTAAGGCGGGGCATGGCTAGGCACCCGCAGGACACCCTGATTAGGGAGGGGTACCTCCTCCCCCACCTTGATAACAGAGCATTTATCAACTTTGTTATCAGCATTTAACACCCCATCTTAAATAAAGCCCCTCTCATTAATTCAAGCTCTTCTTAAACAACTTTTTCCAAAGAAGGGAACATTCCAAGGAGGGACGTTACCAGCTACCTGTTGATTAGCTACAAAAGGGACAAAGGCAGACAGGATTGTGCCCTATCTGCCACAGCACAGACTGCAGCCAGCATGTGGTATGCCAGCTCATGCTGAGAGGTGTCTGTATAAGGCATAGGGGAGAGGGTAATCCCTGCTTAACAAGGAGTGGTGAGGAGAGGGCGGGGAGAGCAGGGGGAAGCCAGGCAGATGCCTGCAGGAGCTGCAGCTGGGGAGCAGAGGGGAGGGGCCAGCTCTGCCGTAGAGCAGAGAGCACAGCCCAGAGAGCATGCCAGGATGCTGGGGTAATCTGGTTTAACTTAAACCAGGAAGGGGTCTGGGACAGACCTTGGATAAACTAGTTTGATCCAAATCAGTTAAGTCTGATACTACATTCAACCAGGTTTATCTCAAACCGGTTTCAGTCATTTTCCAACCAGTTTATGTGCACTGAACATTTGTCCCTAGCCTAGGAAACATCATGGCTGCTATTGGCAGCTGGCCGTATCCCAGTGTGCATTAAATGTTAGTGAATACTTACTCTTAAAAGCTCATGGTCTCTGTCAAGGTCACCAGAGCCTGATCCTTCAGGGTCAAGTCTACTCTGAAATTAAAAGAATTCATTTATAAATGCTATTTTTACTGAAGGGATGAAAAACTAATGGATAAGAACACTGTTGGTGAATCACTACTTATCTCATTGTAGCTGTCATCTCCAGGTCAGACTGATCCTTTTGCAGTAAACTATATTATTACGCCCTGATTAATATTTTGTCTGCAACAGGCGGGGACACACCCAGTGTGTCTTGTGTGGACACACCCAGTGTGTGCAACAGGAGGGAGAAAAACAATCCTCCATGGCCCCATGGGGCAACCAACAAAGCCCAGAAGCATGAGAAATACCAAACACCCTCCATTTTGCTCTGCAACCTGGGGACAGCAGACATAAATTATATATATTTCACCAAATCACTAGACAGCCAGAACTCCCCTTTCTGTATCCTCTCCATAAACTTATCCCAGCAACTTTAATCTTCTTTCACACCTAAGCCAGTCTTGGACTCTGCTTAATTATCCTGCTGCTGAGCATGATTCTTTCCCATATCCACCTGCTTTATGAAAAGAGCTCTGCTGCATTTTCTCCTCACAATCTGAGAGAAGGCAGTGAGGGAGGAGAGCTCCTGAGCTTCTAACGGTTGCTCTTTGCAGAGCACTCCAGGCATAGCTACTTCTAGATCATCCCAAACCAATGCTTATCCAATTTCTTCCTCAAATCTCCAGTGATGGAGATTCCACAATTTCCTTAGGCAATCTACTTTAATGCTTCACTGTTCTAACAGTGGAGAAGTTTTTTCTGATATCCAATCTAAATATAGTCTGTTGCAACCTCAAGTCATTGGCCCATGTCCTGCTCTCTGCAGCAGCAGAAAAAAGAAAGAGGTATTCTTTTTCTTAATGGCAGCCCTTCAGATATTTGTAGACTGCTATCATGTCTCCTCCTAATGGCCTTTTTGAGAGCTGAACATGCCTATATTTCTCTCAACCTCTCCTCATGTGACTTACCTTCCAAGCAAGCAGTGCTTACAATTTGTAATCACTCACCTGTGGACCCTCTCTAACTTTTCCATGTCCTTTTTAAAATGTGGTGCCCAAACTGCGCATAGTACTCTAGGTGAGGCCTAACTGGTGCCAAAAAGGTGACTCCCATTGATGTAACCCAAAAACTACAGCTGCCTTTTGTACAGCTGTGCTATAGTGCAAACTCATATTGAGCCTGTGATCCACCAAGATTCCTAAATCCTTCCCTGCAGTGCTGTCTTCCATCCAGTAGTCACTCATGCTGTATTTATGTGCTTCTGTCACCTACTTTCCAGTTTGGTAATCATCCACAAACCTGCTAAAAAAACCCACTATTTAAGCATCCACATCATTAACAAACATGTTGAACAGCACCAGGCCCTGGACAGACTCCTGTGGAATTCCACTCAAAACCTTCTGCCATTCTGACATGAATCCATTTATAATTACCCTTTGCTTGCAGCTATTGAGACATTTGTCTATCCACCTTAGAGTAGCTTTGTCTAGCCCACATTTTTCCAATTTGTTTATGAGAAAGTCATGTGGAACATAGTTAAAAGCCTTGCTGAGGTTCAGATACACTATACTGATTACATTACTTTCATCTACCCAGCTAGTTATTTTGTTGAAGAAAAAGATCAAGTGCATTTGGCACAATTAGTAAATCCATGCTGCTTGGCTGTAATCAACATTTCCTCCTCCAGATACTTGCAAATATACTTCTGCATGATATTCTCCAGTAATTTCCCAGGAGGTGGGACCAACCAATCTGTAATTCCCATGGTCCTCCTTTTTGGCTTTCTAAAGAGGGGCATTATATTCATCCTTTTCCAGTCCTCTGGTACCTCACCTGTCTCCTATTACTTCATAAATATATATACTTTTAAAGAGGGACACTAAGTTGGTGATTTTCTAGTCCTCTGGTATATCACCTGTCTCCCACGTGATGCAGAAGAGGAGTCTAAGCACTTAGAGGACAACAAGAGGATCAGGAATAGCCAACATGGATTCATCAAGAGTAGAGCATACTGACCAACTTGATTTTTGTTCTATGATAATGTAATAGGCTCTGTGGCTGGCAGGAGGGCATTGAATGTATATACCTTGATTTTAGCAAGGCTTCTCATTCTGTTTCCCAGAACATTCTCATTCCAAAGCTAAGGAACTATGGTTATAGATGAAAACTCTGTAACCTGGCCACATAACTGATTGGAGCATTCATCAATGGCTCAATGTCTAGCTGCAAGAAGGTATTGAGTGGAGTTCCCCGGAGACCTAATGTGGGCCCAGAATTGCTTACCATAGAATCATAGACTCATAGAAGTAGGGTCAGAAGGGACCTTGTAGTCAAGTCCGACCCCCTGACTGGGCAGGAGAAAAACTGGTCTAAAATGACTCCTGCCAAGTAGGCATCAAGCCTCTTATTAAAGACCCCCAGGGTAGGAGCCAGCACCACTTCCCTTGGAAGCTGGTTCCAGATCCTAGCTGCCCTAACTGTGAAGTAGTTCTTACGGATGTCTAATTTAAACCTACTCTCCAACAACTTATGGCCATTATTCCTTGTTATGCCAGGGAGCGCTAGGGGAAACAAGGTCTCTCCCAAACCCTTCTGGTTCCCCCTAGTGAGTTTATAGATGGTCACCAGGTCCCCCCTCAGCCTTCTCTTGTGAAGGCTGAACAGGTTGAGGTCCCACAGTCTCTCATTGTAGGGTCTGCCCTGTTGTCCCCGGATCATGCGGGTGGCCCTCCTCTGGACCCTCTCCATGTTGTCCACATCCCTCTTGAAATGGGGCGCACAGAACTGGACACAATACTCCAGCTGT